GATGGAGACGATGTCGCACAGTAGTGTCTAACCACAGCGTCGTACAAAGCTCGGGCCAACGTCACCTGACAAAAGTGGTCTCTCTGGTCGACCGGCAAGTGAGCTAGGACGGCAAGGTGGATGTCCGCCATGTTTTGATCTCCTGGATCGGCACTATTCGTCGCCAGCTGAGCGCACGGTTTCAGCAAGACCTTCAAGTCCTGCGACTACACTTTGGCAGAGGCAGTGAGTTTTGTCGTGAGGAGGGCATCGCCGTTCACGCTTCCGGCCTCTCCAAAGCAAACTGGGATTGCTGAGCATCACATTGGCTTGATCATGGAGGCTGCTCGCACCTCCATGAGCCATGCGGTTGCTCCCCATCTTCTGTAGTCGTTTGCGGTCCAATACGCCAAGCATCAGCTCAACCTCAAGCCCCGTGTCTCTATGCCAGAGACCTCGCCTACACTGCGCTGGACGGGGGAGGTTGGCGACGCGTTGGAGTTTCGGGTCTGTGGCCCGCTTGCCCTTGTCCGCGATCCTACCGCGGGCAAGCTCTCTCCTCGCACTCTCCGCTGCGTCCTCCTTAGCTTCCCCACCGACGCCCCGCCCTGGCAGTTTTACCACCCTGCCACGCGCAGTGTCCTGTCCTCTTAGGACGTCACCTTTGACGAGTCGGTTTGCTGCTACCGCCTCCACCTCCACATCAATTCCCCCGTCCCCTCCCTCGCATCTCTTCCTGGTCTCAGGTCCCCCCCCCCCCTGGTAGACTCTCTTCCCCCAAAGGGTCCTGCTCCCTCAGATGTGTCTCTGCTCGACCCACCTCCCTTGGTTGAGCCTTTGGAGATCTCCTCTAGCACCTCTGGCCCAGCTGAGGGGGGTGACTGGGCCACTTGCCGCTCACCGCGCTTGGAGACCTCTCCATGTTTTCCGCTTCCCGCCTCTGCAGTTCGTCGTTGTGGACTCCGGTGCTGCTGAGAGTGGTGAGCTAGAGGTGCTGGAGGTACTTGAGGTGCCAGAGCTGGAGGTATTGGAGGCACTGGAGCTGGAGGTGCTAGAGGTACTAAAGGTGCTGGTGCTGGAGGTTCTGGAGCTGTAGGTACTGGAGCTGCAAGTATTGGAGGTGCTGGAGCTGGAGGTACTGGAGGTATTGGAGCTGGAGGTGCTGGAGGTGTTGGAGCTGCTGGAGGTTCTCGTGCTGGAGGTACTGGAGCTGGAGGCTCTGGTACTGTGGGTACTCTGCACCGGCGACCATTTTTCTTCCCACAGCCGCAGTCGTCACTGCAACCACCTGAATCGGCGTTTCGCCAGGTTCTTAGTCTACCGTCTTCCACTGGCCTTACTCCACCTCTACTTGTCCTTTGCCTGACCAGTCATAGGCGCCGTTACTGCCTCACTCCCCTCTGTCTGCTCCTTCTCCTTACTTTGCGCAGATAGACTCCCTGTCAGAGCGTCGTGAGCCTGCGTCTCGTCCTGCCTCGCCTTCGCACTGTTAGTCTTGCTCGTCGTGTTCGTCTTCCACCGGTCCCCGGCACACACTATGGCACTTCGTCCCTCCTCTGTTCCACTGCGTGTTGCCCTGTCGTCTCCTCCACCGTCCTCTCTTCCTGACGTTCCTGACCATGAGTCTGACCTTGCTCGTGCTGCTAGTCCGTGTCACGCACTTCCAGGCCACCCTTGTTACTAACCCTTCCATTGAGTCTACTGTTGCACCTGCCTTAGTCACTGAGCTCGTGACTTTGCTGCTATCTGTCGCTTAGACTACTTCGCGCGTCTTGTTACTGAGTCTGAGTCTGAATATTCAAGGGGTGAGCTTGCCTTTGGCAGTGACGTTTTTGAGTGAGTTTGAGCTTGAATGCCTCATGGCTGCTGTACCTCATTTTGCTTCCATGCTGCTTTGTCGTGAGGGAGACCCGGATGCACTAGACATCCCGACCCCCCGCTCTTACGCTGGGGCGATCACGGGTGAGTACTCCTCTAAGTGGCAGATAGCTAAAGATGAAGAGATGGCTTTCTGGAAGTCCACAGGCACTTACGTCGACGCAGTTCCCCCTCGTGGGGCGAACATAGTCGATGACATGTGGATTTTCAGAGTGAAGCGGCCGTCGGGTTCTCCGCCTGCCTTCAAAGCATGTTACGTTGCACGAGACGTAAGTGAGCGCGGGGGGGGGGGGGGGGGGGGGTCGACATCTTCTACACATTCTCCCCCACCCGAAGATGACCACTCTTCGGGTGTTACTGCACGTTGCAGCGCAGCGTGACTACGAGCTCCACTCGCTTGACTTCCGCACAGCTTTCTTGCGAGGCAACCTTCACGAGGAGATCCAGCTACGCTGCCCACCTGGCTTCACTGGGTCGTTTCCTGATGGTACCAAGTGGAGCCTTTGGCCACCAGTCTATGGTCTCCGTCAGGCGCCCTGCGAGTGGCACGACAAACTGAGGACTACACTTGCGGCTCTTTGGTTTGCTCCTTCGACTGCTGACCCGTCGCTGAATCTGTGCACCGGCCCTTCTCTGCCGCCGTTCTACATCCTCATATACGTTGACGACTTGGTCGTAGCTACTGCTGGCACTGAGGCATTGGCCCTTGTGAACGCAGAGCTGCAGAAGAGACACACTTGCACTGGTCTTGATGAGCTGCGCAGCTATGTTGGCTTGCAGATCACCCGGGACAAAGCACGGCGCATCATCACTCTGACTCGGTCACACATGGTGCACCAGGTTCTTCAGCGCTTCAGCTCCCAGTTCTCCTCACCACAGGCCACTCCTCTGCCTACTGGCCACTCGCGCACAGCTCCACCTTCGGACGAGTCCGCATAGCCGAGTGGTAAGTATTTAGAGCTTGTGTTCTGCCTCGTATACCTGGTGACTTGCCCTCGACCTGACCTCGCGTACCCTCTTAGCATCCTGGCACGCTACATTGCGCCTAGGAGACATGGACCACAGCACTGGCGGGCCGCTAAGAGGGGTGATGCGTTACTTGTACAATACATCAGGCATGGGGCTTGTGCTTGGAGTTCGGGGCTCAGTTGTACTCGCTGGACACTCAGACGCTTTTTGGGTCGACGACTCAGCGTTCTTCAAAGGGTTACACTTCCAGTCTCGACACTGGCTCTGTCTCCTGGAGGTTGACCCGCTCGTCTTCAGTACTGAGGTCCAACTGTGAGGCCGAGATCTACTCTGGAGTCATGACTCCTCAAGAGTTACACTGGCTGACCTACCTGCTGACAGACTTGGGTGTGTGGCCTCGTTCTCCTCCGGTTCTGTACGTTGACAAGAAAGCCACTACCGTATTACCCCGGACATACCACCCTAGGGTGCTATGATAACTACACAAAAAAAGGGGGGGGGGGGGGGGGGGGGGGGGGTCTTGTCATCGGAAAAAGCTACATTGCACCCGGGTCGTTACATAATGTATATTTTTTTTAGAGCACAAAAGGTTGAGAGCAAAATGTACATGTTTGATGCGGTGGTAGATTGTTGGTTGGGTGCGCAAAACCGAGGACTGGGCGATAACGTTAGTCTCGTGGGTTAGCTGCCACATTGCAAGCTCCAACAAGGCCCACAGTCAGGCCCTGATTGGAAAGAAGACACACCCCCCAGGGCTGACGTTTCATTTCGGGCCCCCCTGATTTCGGGAAAACAATTCTCCCTGGATTATGAGGGCACATATTTCGTAGGTTTGCTACTCTGATTGGTCAGTGTCCAACAACGACTTACTCAGAGTTGTCAGGGTTCAGAGCAAGAAATCAGTGTTGCAGCCAATCACGCAAATTTCTCCCATTTCCCTCCCACGCCTCACTTCCCTGGCCGGTCGAAATCAAACAGAACACACAACCAAGCTGGCAGTCGTGATTTTACTGTACTGAAGTCACACAAACTGTTGGGTCAGATCACGGTTCTTCTGAAGTTCGCCTGCCATAAAATCTGGACAAGTGTATGCGAAAGTACACGTCAGTGTGACTTGGCACCACACAGCCACGAATATCGCCCACAATGTGCCACCCAAAGTACAGTGCACGTTCGCCGTCAACCACAGTATATATTTGCAAAAACTGCAATATTACCCGTACATAACACCCACCCCCCCGGGTGCTATATCAGATCGCCCCAAAAGGGGGGTATAGTAGAAATGAGGCCCGCTATAGCACCCCCCCCGCACAAGCCACCCGGGGGGTGCTCTATTTCGGCGGGTGTTATGTCCGGGGTAATACGGTATTGCCTTGTGTCGGGAGCAAAGACTGGAGCACATAACGAAGCACATTGCTCTTCGTTATTTCCTCGCTCGATAGTTACAGCAGCGTGGTCAGCTCCGCCCTACCTACGTGGCCTCACGGGCCAAAACTGCTAATATTTTCACCAATGCACTTGTGTTGAAGGACCATCAACGTTTTTGGCACTGCTCCAAGCCTTGTTCTTTGCTGTGTGGGTGGATCCACCTTGAGCTTTGCTTTGCTTTGTTCCTTTGATTGACAGATCTTGTGACCGTCTGTTGTGTTTGCTATCCCCCACTTAGCCGATGGGGATGTGTCAAAACTGTATGTTTGTGTGTTATCTCTTAGCTTTATTGGGATAGCCTACAAGGGTGGTATAACCCATTAAGGTTAGTACACTTGATCATAGTTCATTCATTCTTGCTCGCTTGATTCTGACAGACAAAATGTCCTCCAAGGGGGGACAGCACCGTACATTGTTGTTAAAAGCTGATTGATTAGTGTACATATGAAAAATGTATTGTATGAGAATTACAGTTTTTCCTGTCCAACTTAGCGTTAAAATGCTGACTTATGGAGACCTGGAACCGAGACAACCTGTTGCTGACTTTTGAATATGGGGAAGCAAGGTTGTTGAAAAACAAACCTTTTTGGTTGGTTAATCCTCTGAACATGCGTACGGTAATAGAATGTTGGTTTACACTGCTTCTGCTGTCAACAATCATTATGCTTCGTACAGTATGGCAAGTTCGCTGCATGAGAAGTGCGGTGGTGCGGTGTGGTGGGAGGGCAGTAGCGGGTGATGCGGTGTCACGGGTAGGCCGGCAGGGAGTGGTGCAGGGCGTGCAGAGACACGGCCGCGGATCCACGAGGGCGAGCCCTCTGCTGCGACTCGTGCGGCGCCCAGCCCGCCATGAAGATGACCTGCACGTAGTGTGGGGGGGAGGGGGTGGGGGGGTGGAGGTTGGATACTTGAGCATTGAAGAATCACCTCGCAGGAAGGCAGGTAAGCTCTGAAAGGAGAGTGGGGTTGGGGGAGAGTGCATGTGGGAGGGGAGAGATGGGCATGTTGAGAATTCTGAATGAACAGCTGCATTGAAAACGAAGCCAAAGGGTTGAGTTGTTGTGGCATGGCTGATGAAATGACAAGGCGTGAGGAACCAGAGAACCTGAAATGTTGCAACAACCCCATCTTCATCCCTCCCTTGTTGTTCGTCCCCCCTCGCCTCTACACCAGGAGCAAGGTCTGGTGGTGAATGAGCGTGTGCGGAGGGAGGGCAGGCGGGGAACATGTGCGCGTAGATGGCTGCTGCTGCCAGCGCCGTGTCACGGGGCAACGGCTGAGCGGACGGGTGGGGGGCAATGAGTGGAGAGTGAGAGAATGAGTGGAGTGAATGAGGAAGGGGGAGTAGTATGTGGGAAGCGAGAGGAGTTCGCAGGAAGGGGGACCAGTGAGTGCGAAAGGCGAGTGAGTGACAGATGGGAGGAGATGCTGAAGAGGGAGGGAGGAGTTGAAGGAGGTTGCAAGGGGCACGAAACGTAGGGAAAGGTGAGAATGGAGTGGAGGGGTGGGCAAGGGAAGCCAAGTGAGAGGATGAAGCAGGCAATGAAGTGTGAGCGTGCACGCAGGCAATGAAATTTGAATCGTATTGCAACTATTGTTATCCTTTTCATGTTCGTTGTCTCGTCCACACACTCACAGTTGGTAGCATTTAGAGAGACGTCCTCACAGCTGTGGCAAGAGCACCACTGCAGCCACCAAAGCCCATTACACCGGATATGAGTGGCAGAGAACAAACAAGGTGCACAGGAGCGCGGAACCATGGTGTGATCTCACCTGCCTGTGCTCGCACCTGCCTGTGCTCGCACCTGGGAGTGGTGCAGAGTGCAGTCTGTCTCGCCCAGCAATCGCAGGTGCTGCACCACCTGCACAGCTGCACATGGGCGCAGCAAGGAGGGCACACGAGAGCCCGTGAAAGACAATGATAAGCAACAAGACGGTTGGCAACGATAGTCGGAGCACCCGAGGGGTAGGCGAGAGCACCTGAGGGGTAGGCGAGAGCACCTGAGGGGTAGGCGAGAGCACCCGAGGGGTAGGCGAGAGCACCCGAGGGGTAGGCGAGAGCACCCGAGGGGTAGGCGAGAGCACCTGAGGGGTAGGCGAGAGCACCTGAGGGGTAGGCGAGAGCACCTGAGGGGTAGGCGAGAGCACCTGAGGGGTAGGCGAGAGCACCTGAGGGGTAGGCGAGAGCACCCGAGGGGTAGGCGAGAGCACCCGAGGGGTAGGCGAGAGCACCCAAGGGGTAGGCGAGAGCACCTGAGGGGTAGGCGAGAGCACCTAAGGGGTAGGCTAGAGTGTTAGTGTTAGCCCTCGATCTCACACTTTGTACTTTATATTTTCTATTTCCTAGAGTAGTGTAGTTTGCACTTTGTGTTTGGTTGGGAATACACCTACATCCCAACCAAACCCAAATGTAATCTCCAAGCAATCTCCAAGCAATCTTCAACCCACGAATTGGAGATGGCCTTGGGATTACCCTCATTCCCTAGGGATTGCCCACGATTCCCTTCCCCATCTTGGATGTACTTAAAGAGCTTCAAGCTCATTACTAATGTATCAGTTCTACGCCTAAGTTGTGAAATGGTATCAGAGCACTTCAACCGCACATGCGAATCGTGATCATATTCTTTCGGCGGATGCTCATCCCGCAAACGCCGTCGTAGACGTCCTCAATCCCGTCGCCGGTGATTCGCGACATTCGTGGCCGAAAATTCTCCCGCGTCACTTTCCCCCTTCATTCTCGACGACCTCTACACCCCCTGCGGTAAGCGCATCGCTGGCGCTTTAACCATTCGTGTGTTCTTTATTTCTCGTCGAACATCTTCGCACAAGTTCTTCTCGTCGGGCCGCCGCCCGTCGCACCGCAGCTTCTTGTCGGGCCGCCGCCCGTCGCTCCGCAACTTCTCGTCGGGCCGCCGCCCGTCGCCCCGCAACTTCTCGTCGGGCCGCCGCCCGTCGCCCCGCTGCGTCACCTTTGAGCTGCCGCCCCTCGCCCCGCACCAGCACTTCTACCCCCTTTCCCCTCCCCTTCCCGCAGCTGAACAGGTGCCAGCGCAGCCGATCAGCAGAGTAGCCGCAAAGCCGAGCAGCCGTGTAGCCGCGAAGCCGAGCAGCCGTGTAGCCGCGAAGCCGAGCAGCCATGTAGCCGCGAAGCTGGGGGTGGTGTGTGGGGGGGTCTGTGGGAATAGAGTTAGTTGCACAGAAATCGGCCGATTTAACCTAATTTTGGCGGCCTTCAAAACCCTTCTACGAGACATCCCGACGCGGCCGACATTGACGATTTTTGCTCTCCGGAACCGTCAAAGTTCCAATCGGTGACTTAAGAGCGGCGCTCCGCGCGAGACATTAAGGGGCCCTCACCACCATTGCCAACCCCATCACCCCACTCCGCCTTGAAGCCGATGGCTCTAGCTCCAACTTCAACGCATGGAGCTACGGGGTTGACAAGCACCTCCTTAGTGGTGACGTGCAGAGATTGGACCTCAAGGACGTCCTCCTCAACCGTGGCTAGGGAAAACAACCCCTTCTCCCCCGTGAGCTGATCGAATCTGCTAGTGATGCTGACACGACGGCGTACGAGGAAGCTGTTGAGAAGTACCGGAAAATGGGAGAAGGCCGATGCAGCTATCATCAGCGTCTTCATCGCCTCCACCCCTCCCGAACTTGTCAACACGTTCCACAACTACCCTACCTCCAACACCATCTGGAAGTATATCTCAAGGATCGATTCATGAACAAGACGGCGGTCGGAGTTGCCATTCTCATCCCCAGACATGTTTCAGGTCCGCCTTGAGGAGTGCTCGGGAATGGCCGACTACATTGCCAAGGTGCAGACCATTCATGGCGAACTCGAGGAGCTGGGTATAGTCTTCCCTGAACAAGCCCCTGCAGCCGCCCTTCTTGTTGGTCTCACTTCGGCATATGAAGTCACGAGGAAGATGCTCTTCACGCTCTCAGCGGAATACCTCACTTTTGCTAAGGTCTCCACCGCACTCCTCTCTGCCAAGAAAGACTCCACGGCTCAAGCCAAGGCTTACGCCATCCGTGCTTCTGTGCCTCAAGCAAGTGTTGCCTTGGCACCCTTCCAGCACAACCGCTTCCCTCTGTACAGCTACGTCGTCAATTATGGCAACCGCAAGGGACAAGTGTGTGGTGGCACTAACCACCCCTTTGCTATGTGCTTCGAGAAGAAAGACGACGAATGTTATGCCATCCACGGAGTAGACAAGAAACCACCAAACTGGATGCGTCCTCGTAAGGCCAACCTCGTTGAGGTCCAGGACTTCGCTTCGGCTAGTGCTAGTGATAGTGCTCTTGCTGATGTGCGTATCAACCTGTTGTTCCCTGGCACTGCCATGATCAATGAAGCAACCTCCCAATACATCGGCTCGTCAAAAGCACCACAATACATAGAATTCACACTCGACAGTGGGACCACTCACACTGTGCTCAAGGAGACACTGTCCTTCAAACCTACGCAACACCCATCTTTCTCCTCGGAGCTGATTCAAGCTTCACAATTCTTGCCGAGGGTACATCCACAGTCCCGTGCCCCGCCTTCCCATCCGGCACTGTCACTGGCATGTGCGTGCCTTCACTATGCCACAATTTAGTGGCTCAAACGGAAATTCAGGAAGCAGGGTTAACGGAGAACAAGGACTATTGTGACATCATATATCCACTCACCAACAAGGTCCTGGCTCGCTTCACCCTCAAAATCAGCGGCCTCTACACGCTGCGCATACCTATCCCACAGGTGTCAACCACCCAAGCACAAGCTACTATCACACCATGCTCATGTCGCAGCTTCTCCAACCCGACCATCCTCTACCACCATCGGCTCGGGCACCCAAACTTACGCATGCTTGCTGACATGGCTTCCAAGAAACTTCTTCTCGGCCTGCCAGCCTCACTTCCTCCACCACCTGAATCACCCGCTCCCATGTGCCTTGACTGCATCAAGAGCAAACTGCGCCAACAGCCCCATCCTGCCTCACCCACAGTCGCAGCAGCACCACTGGAGCTAGTGCATATGGACGTCTGGGGCCCTGCCCCGGTTCCCGCACGAGGTGACCATCGCTACTTCCTTGCTATCGATGATGACCACTCCCGCTACGTCTCTATTCACCTCATCCACACTAAGGCTGAGGCTCCAGAGGTCATCATGGCGTGGGTCAAACAGGCACAGACCACCTTTGACTGCAAGATCAATCGCCTTCACTCGGATGGGGGTGGTGAATTTTGCAACGACAAGCTCAAAGCCTTCTGCTCCTGAGAAAGCATCCAGCAAAACTTCACCCTTCCTGACAGCCCGCAGCAGAACGGCATAGCAGAGAGCCGCAACCACACCCTGGTGCAGATCACTAGGTGCCTCCTCACCCACTCCAACGCTCCACTCTCTCTCTGGGGGTACGCCCTCTACCATGCCGCCCTCCTCTACAACTAAGTTGGAATATACGCTTAGGGGCCTTAGCGTTCAGCGTTTGAACGCTAGCGTGTATACGCAATACGCGAAACGCTAGCGAATACGCTATACGCAACCCAAATTTTTTTTGGGGCAGCCCGCCCGACCCAAAAAATTTCAAACACACCAAAAGATGCGGAATGGCACGGCAAGTGATTCTGCGACGTCAGATTGCACGTCCGAGATCTAGGGTTGCGGGAAATTGGATTCATGTCCTGGTGTCGCGATTTCACTTTCACATGTTGCACGTTGACATATTGATGGTCACGTACATCGAGTCGCATGTGCATGTTTGAACATTTCTATCCCAACACGTTACCGCATTCAAACCCACAACATTCATTCAGTCCAACCCTTCCGACCCAATCCCCCGCCACTCGTCATGCTATTTATCAACTCGTCAGAACGTCCATCCCATTCAGTAATCCTCTCCCGCTACCAACAACTAGCCTCAGTGCGATGTCATCCAGCAGTCCGCCTCTCACGCCGCATTCCGATCAGTCTGTGGAGAGTTCTATCCCTCGTCCAGAAGGGACCAGGGAGTACCTTCCCGATGTAGTCCACGACGTCTTCAAGCACTTCAGTATCATCAAGCGCGAAGAGGGCAAGGCACAGCAGTACGAGTGCAAGTACTGCTTCAAGGTCTTTTCACGTGCCGCCATCCGATGCGCTCAGCACCTTAGCTCATGGAAGAAGATGAAGCGCCGCGAGGTGGCGCTTTGCGGGAAGGCACCTGCGGATGTTCGCCTCAAAATTCGCAAGAAGTACGAGGCGCAGGCTGCTGCGAAAGAAGAGAAACAGCGAGCGGTGTTGGCTGCTATAGCGTCGGTCAAAGCCGGTGGCAAACGGGCCCGCATGACCGACTACCTCGAGGGCGACGCTGCTGCGGCAAAAAGTGAAGCACATGAAGGTCTTGCGCTCATGATTGCCGCATGTCGCCTCCCGGAGAACCTGGTCGAACATCCGCTCTTCGTCAACTCTATGCACCTGGTCGCCCGCGTCGGGAAGGGCTACCTTCCGCCACGTCGCAAGTACATCGGAGGTGCCGGACTGCTCGCTTGCCGCAAGGGTATTGAGAACGGCTTGATGGGGATCAAGGCCAGCTGGAAGAAGACAGGTGTTACCATCGCGTCCGACATGATGACAGACAAGTGTGGCAGGCCGCAGGCGAATGTCCTCCTCCTCAACGACGCGGGCGCTGTCCTGAAGGAGTGTGTGGACTGCAACATGGAGAAGAAAACAGGGGGGTACATCGCGGGGATACTGAAACCCGTCGTGGAGGAAGTCGGACCCGAGAACGTCGTCGCGTTCTGTATGGACGGGGGTTCCAACTACGCGTCAGCGTGCCGGAAGCTGATTAAGATGTGGCCCCACATTCAACAGGTTCCATGTGCCACCCACGTCATGGACCTAATGATGGAGGACGTGGGAAAAATGGGGTGGGCAAAAAAGGTGGTTGACCGTGGCGGTGAGATGAGCTCCTTCACCCGCAACCACCATTGGACACGCGGTTACTTGCCGGACCGTAAGTTGGTGGAGGGGAAGGTGTTGCAGCCATTGAAACCCGCGGGGACCCGCTTTGGGACCCAATACATTGCTATCTCCCGTCTCTGTCAGCTTCGCCCCACCCTTACGCAGATGGTTGTCAGTGACGAGTGGAAGGTGTGGGCTGCTGGATCGCACAAGGAGGTTGCAGAGAAGTTCGCCGCGCAGGTACTCGACACGGCGTGGTGGAAAACTGCCGAGTTTTTCACCAAGCTGATGCAGCTCCCTTTCAAGGCGATGCGCATGACTGACGGGGAGGCAAAAGGGATGATGGGCAGGATCTATGACGTGATGCTTCAACTCACAGAGGACGTTGAGGCTCTCGTGGACGCGGATGAGGAGCAATTGTGCATCAGCGATAAGAAGCAGATCTGCCGCATCCTCAAAGACCGGTGGGACGAGAGCCTCGCGTGCGCCATGCACGTGGCAGGCCGCATCCTCAACCCCGCGAACCAGGAAGAGGACATTTTCGGCGGCGACGCCGAATGCACGCGTGTCTTCAAGGCGTTTCTTCACCAGCATGCGGAGTTCCTCGTCGGCCACGACGGGAAGGGGAGGGATGCGGCCTGCGATTACTTGGCTGAGCTGGGGCACGGGCTAAGGGATTTCCTGGACATGAAGGGTAGTTTCGGGATGGCAGAGGCTGTGGCACAAAGGGAGATGGTGAAGGTGGGAAAATACAGCATGGTGAAGTGGTGGCAGTGGAACGGAACAGATGCCCCTCGCCTTGCGTCCCTCGCCATCCGGATTCTCTCGCAGCCCGTCTCGGCTTCACCCAGTGAGCGTGGCTGGTCATCGTGGGAGTCCGTCCACACTGCCCGCAGGAACCGCTTAGGATCCACCAAGTGTGCGGATTTGGTGTTTATTGCGCACAACTGGAACGTTGTGCGCAACTGGCACACGCGCAAGGATGTGATGCCGAATGTTGTGTGTGGGAATGAGTCCGAGCACCCCATCCCCGAAGGTTACAATGTGCTGGATGAGCAGGAGGAGGAGGAGGAGGAGGGTGAGGATGAGGACGCTATCTTGGAGGACGAGTATGAGTAGAGGGTAACGAAGTGGGGGGGGGAGGAGGGTGGGTATAGTAGGGAGAGAGTAGTATGACTCGTAACTGGATTTGTATGGCATGGCTAATTTTAGTATGGGGAAAAAAAACAAACAGAAACACATCCCGCATGAAACCCCACTAGACCAAATCCCGGGAGGGGTTTTTTACCCTGCCCGGGAAACTTTTTTCCCTGCCCAGAAATGCGTATCCTGGATCTGACCACTCTAGCGTTCAGCGTTCACACGCTAGCGTATATACGGAACGCGTATATACGCCAAACGCGTTTATGCCAACCTAGCTCTACAACCTTTACCCCCACCTGCATCTTCCCAACACCACTCCAACCACTCTTTGGCTCGGGAAAACACCCACTGCACGCTCTCTTTGCGATTGGGGGTGTATCGCCTATGTCCTCCTCAACCCTCAAGCTAGGCGAAAGAACGGTGGCAAACTCGGTCCCAAGACCCAAATGTGCATCTACCTTGGGCACAACGCCGACTCCCCTGACTACCTCTTCCTTAACCCCTCCACTCAACAGTTAGTCCGGAACCGCGATGTTGTCTTTGATGAGATCCGCCCATTCTACTCCACCTCGGGACGGGATCCTCCCTCTGATCCGCCCTCTCTTGTGTAGGCAGACTTTGATGTTCCTCCTGAACTCCCGCCTCCACCGACCCCCTCACCTCTCCTGCCATGGCACCATCCCCCTCTGAGGTCTCTGACCCGACCTCACCGATGTCTTCGGCACCTGCTCCTCCATCCCCCTCACCTCCTACTCTGCCAATTGCGCCGCCCCCTCCGGGGCACCAATCACATACCATCGGCGGTCAAACCCTCCGGCCCCACCTCGCCCCCCCAATCCCCCCTTCCACCCAGGACCCCATCCCCCACAGCCGCCCGAACTGATCACGTACCAGCGGCGGCCAATTCCCCCACCCAAGTCTCCTAAACCATCCCCTCCGACATCGCCTGCTCCACCCTCTTCTCCGGTGGCTCATGGCACTCGCTCGCATGGCCCTGCTCCTCCACTGGCACTGGCTATACGATGCTCAGCGATCACTCCGACTCCTCCTGCCGGGGGGGATGTGCCCTCTACTCTTCTGGAAGACAGGCATGAGAAGCTGTGTAATCTTCACGCAGTCATTCCCCAGCTCTCGCACATCTTCCCCGACATCACTGAATCACCCTCACTCAACTTCACGGAGAACCCGACCATCCCTATCCCTCTCACCGTCCAAGAGGCTCTTTGGGGTCCCCATGCTCCCGAATGGTGTGTTGCCATGGAAGCTGAGATAGAAGCCTTCACTAGCAACCACTCCTTCGACGACGAAACTCCACCTCCAGGGGGTTAACATCGTTGGGGGCAGGTGGCTGTTTCGAGTGAAGCAGCTTCCGGACGAGGCCCCTGTGTTCAAAGCTCAATATGTGGCCAAGGGATTTACTTAGCAATAGTACCTTTCACTTCTTCAAAACATTCTCCCCCACATCCAAACCACCCACCGTTCGCACGCTCTTGGATGTAGCTGCGCGAGAGGACTTTAAGATCAAATCCATGGACGCCTCATCGGCCTTCCTGCAAGGACACCTCAAGGAGACAGTGTTCATGGATCGTCCCGAAGGCTTTCCAGGAAAGTTCCCTCCCAACACTGTTTGGAAGCTGAATTGCCCCGTCTACGACCTCAAGCAAGCCCCTCGCGAATGGCACAACAAGGTTATAGAAGTCCTTCTCTCCCTAAACTTCCACCCATCATCTGCGGACCCGACTCTCTTCATTCGCCGTCATTCTGAGCCATTCTACATCCTTGTCTACGTGGATGACTTCATCGTCGTTGCCAAGGACTCGGCCCAGATGACCTCTGTCCAGGCGGCCCTGAGCAAAACCCTCCTGATGAAAGACCTCGGTGACCTCAAGCACTACCTCGGGATGGAGATTACACGTGATCACCAGGCTCGCACCATTTCACTCTCCCAGGTGTTCTACATCAACAATGTGCTCAAGCGGTTTGAGATGGAGCTGTGCACACCTGTTGCCACCCCGCTGCCGCTGCAATACCTCCTCACAGCCCCAGCTGTACCCACACCAGAGGCTTGCTCTGAGCCATACCCGGAGCTCGTTGGGTCCCTCATGTACGCCATGATGTGCACCCGGCCGGACTTGGCATATCCTGTGAGTGTCCTCTCTCGCTACATGGCCCCTGGACGCTTTACTGATCGTGACTGGAAGGCAGCGAAGCGGGTACTGCGTTATCTTCAAGGCACCAAGTCTCACGTTCTCACACTCGGCGAGCTCTCCCCTCCTCGACTGGAAGGTTACACTGACTCCTCTTGGGCTGATGACCAGACCGACCGACGCTCCTCTCGGGGGTACTGCTTCACCCTTGGGAGCGGAATTGTCAGTTGGCGCTCCACCAGGTCGTGAGCAGTCTCCCTCTCCTCCTGTGAGGCAGAGCTCTACGCTGGCACCATGGCTGCTCAAGAGGCCCGTTGGCTCACCTTCCTCCTCCAGGAGCTTGGCTACCCAAAGTCCACCCCTACCCTCTGGTGTGACAACCAGAGTACCATCCACCTCTCCCAAGACCCCGTGTACCACACTCGCACCAAGCACATCGAACTCCGGCACTTCTTCATCCGTGACCGTGTCCAGCGGGAGCAGCTGAATGAGGAGTACGTTGCATCTGATTGCAACCTGGCTGATCTGTTCACCAAGCCCCTTGGGAAAATTCCTCACCACCGTCTCCTTGGCGCCATGGGGCTCTGTGCTCCACCTTCTCTGCCCTGAGTTCAATTTACGCCTGTGGGGGGCTGTTAATGTTAGCCCTCAATCTCACACTTTGTACTTCATATTTTCTATTTCCTAGAGTAGTGTAGTTTGCACTTTGTGTTTGGTTGGGGGTACACCTACATCCCAACCAAACCCAAATGTAATCTCCAAGCAATTTCCAACCCACCAATTGGAGATTGCCTTGGTCACCCCCAATCCCTAGGGATTGCCCACGATTCCCTTCCCCATCCAGTCCTTCCCCATCTTGGATGCACTTAAAGAGCTTCAAACTCATCACTAATGTATCAGTTCTACGCCTAAGTTATGAAATGGTATCAGAGCACTTCAACCGCACATGCGAATCGTGATCATATTCTTTCGGCGGATGCTCATCCCGCTAACGCCGTCGTAGACGTCCTCAATCCCGTCGCCGGTGATTCGCGACATTCGTGGCCGAAAATTCTCCCGCGTCACTTTCCCCCTTCATTCTCGACGATCTCTACACCCTCTGCGGTAAGCGCATCGCTGGCGCTTTAACATTTTGAGTGTTCTTTATTTCTCGTCGAACATCTTCGCACAATTTCTTCTCGTCGGGCCGCCGCCCGTCGCCCGGCAGCTTCTCGTCGGGCCACCGCCCGTCGCTCCGCAGCTTCTCGTCGGGCCGCCGCCCGTCGCCCCGCAACTTCTCGTCGGGCCGCCGCCCGTCGCCCCGCAGCGTCACCTTCGGGCTGCCGCCCGTCGCCCCGCATCAGCACTTCTACCCCCTTTCCCCTCCCCTTCCCGCAGCTGAACAGGTGCCAGCGCAGCCGATCAGCAGCGTAGCCGCAAAGCCGAGCAGCCGTGTAGCCGCGAAGCCGAGCAGCCACACGCCGCGAAGCTAAGTGGTGTGTGGGGGGGTCTGTGGGAATAGAGTTAGTTACACAGAAATCGGCCGATTTAACCTAATTTTGGCGGCCTTCAAAACCCTTCTACGAGACATCCCGACGCGGCCGACATTGACGATTTTTGCTCTCCGGGACCGTCGAAGATCCAATCAGTGACTTAAGAGCGGCGCTCCGCGCGAGACATTAAGGGGCCCTCATCATGGCCTTCATCTCGTCCGCCATTGCCAACCCCATCACCCCACTCCGCCTTGAAGCCGATGGCTCTAGCTCCAACTTCAACGCATGGAGCTACGGGGTTGACAAGCACCTCCTCAGTCGTGACGTGCAGGGATTGGACCTCAAGGACGCCCTCCTCAACCGTGGCTAGGGAAAACAACCCCTTCTCCCCCGTGAGTTGACCGAATCTGCTAGTGATGCTTACACGACGGCGTACGAGGAAGCTGTTGAGAAGTACCGGAAAATGGGAGAAGGCCGATGCAGCTATCATCAGCGTCTTCATCGCCTCCACCCCTCCCGAACTAGTCAACACGTTCCACAACTACCCTACCTCCAACACCATTTGGAAGTATATCTCAAGGATCGATTCATGAACAAGACGGCGGTCGGAGCTGCCATTCTCATCCCCAGCATGTTTCAGGTCCGCCGTGAGGACTGCTCGGGAATGGCCGACTACATTGCCAAGGTGCAGACCATTCATGGCGAACTCGAGGAGCTGGGTATAGTCTTCCCCGAACAAGCCCCTGCAGGCGCCCTTCTTGTTGGTCTCACTTCGGCATATGAAGTCACGAGGAAGATGCTCCTCACGCTCTCAGTGAAATACCTCACTTTTGCTAAGGTCTCCACCACACTCCTCTCTGCCAAGAAAGACTCCACGGCTCAAGCCAGAGAGCACCTGAGGGGTAGGCGAGAGCACCTGAGGGGTAGGCGAGAGCACCTGAGGGGTAGGCGAGAGCATTTGAGGGGTAGGCGAGAGCACCTAAGGGGGTACGCGGAAGCACCTGAGGGGTAGGCGAGAGCACCCGAGGGGTAGGCGAGAGCACCTGAGGGGTAGGTGAGAGCACTTGAGGGGTAGGCGAGAGCACCTGAGGGGTAGGCGAGAGCACCTGAGGGGTAGGCGAGAGCACCTGAGGGGTAGGCGAGAGCACCTGAGGGGTAGGCGAGAGCACCTGAGGGGTAGGCGAGAGCACCTGAGGGGTAGGCGAGAGCACTTGAGGGGTAGGCGAGAGCACCTGAGGGGTAGGCGAGAGCACCTGAGGGGTAGGCGAGAGCACCTGAGGGGTAGGCGAGAGCACCTGAGGGGTAGGCGAGAGCACCTGAGGGGTAGGCGAGAGCACCTGAGGGGTAGGCGAGAGCACCTGAGGGGTAGGCGAGAGCACCTGAGGGGTAGGCGAGAGCACCTGAAGGGTAGGCGAGAGCACCTGAAGGGTAGGCGACGGGGAATTCGTCGACATCGACCGTGGGCAGCGCGAAACCGGCTTTGGTTAGCAGATTGCCCGCATCTCGCACCTGGAAGGGGGGGGGAGGCGGATTGTTGGCAGGAAGGGGGGACATGATTGTAAGGAGGGGGGGCGGGTTATGGCAATCACATGAGTGATGCTCACAACATCCTCATCCTGGTAACCACATGAAAAGGCAGGTTCTTGGTGCCTTGGCCCTACGCGCCTCACATCCCACCAGCGTCACCCCCGAACCCACCTGAGCCATGGGGGCGACTCGAGCCGCCACACCGCCCTGCCTCTCCATGTGAGCCAACGTGCATGCTATGCGCAGCTCCCTGGGGGCACATGCACATGCCACCATGCACATGCCACCAAGCACATGCCACCATGCACATGCCACCATGCACATGCCACCATGCACACAAGTTGCATTTCATCCATGCCACAGAATGAACAATAGTAACTGCTGAAGGAGGAGAGATATGGTATCTTGTGCCTCAAGCACAGTGTCATGCACGCAGGGAGTGCATGGAATGTGAAAAAAAAAGGGAGGTGTCCAGAAGCGAGGAGGAGGGAGAAACGAGAGCAGCCCATGGCAGTACCGGAGGGTGTCGCCGCCCAGCATGGCCGCGAGGAAGAGCCCATCGGGCTTCAACGCCCTCCTGGTGGCCACAGGGGGGCGGGCAGACGGGTGCAGAGGAGGCAACGAGTAAGGAGGGTGGGGAGGGCTACATGCTTCGGTAGAAGGGGTGCTTCGGTAGAAGGGGTGCTTCGGGCGGGCAGAGGATGCGCGGGGAGAGGGAGCGGCACAGCAGAGGGGAGGGCGGTCCAGCACACCTGATGTGCGCCATGGCGGCGGGCAGGTCGTTGACCCAGTGCAGCCCCACACATGATATCACCGCGTCAAACGAGCTGCATGGCACGAGGAGGGGTGGGGGTTTGAGACGCACGACAGATGAGAGAAAAGAGAAGAGTGGATGGCAGAGCTGCTTTGGGTGCCGGCTGCTGCTGCAGTAGAGACTTTTTATTGACGGAGGAGGCGTGGCAGGGGGTGACCTGGAGTGGAAGGGCAGGTGCTCCTCGTCTGCCAGCACAAACGCCACCTGCACCCTCGCTGCTGCTGCCGCCTCTGATGCTGATGCTGCTGCGCGTACTGTTGACGCTGCTGCTGGGTGTTCAGTGTGGTGCGGAGTCCAGGTGTGATCGGTGGCAGTGGGGGCGTGATTGCAGCAGACGGCGTGGGCAGGCAGGTGGGCGCGCGCCAGTGCGAGGGCCGTGGGAGACACGTCCACCACCACCACTCGCTGCACAGCTGCTGTGCGGAGGGGGGATGGCGAGGCAGAGAGGGGATGCGTGAATGGGCGGACGAGGATGTGCCACGGAGAAATGGGATGCTGAGAAAGAGCAAGTGACCCATGGTCGGTGCATCTGGTAGGCAGTTGTGGGTACGGAATGGGGTTGCATGAGGACAGCAATTGCTCATACATCTGGACAGGCCGTTTCAGCAGCCTGGGAGCTGCGCAGCACCGTGCCATGAGAGGCGGCGAGAGGCGATGAAAGGCGGTGAGAGGCGATGAGAGGTGGTGAGAGGCGGTGTGTGGCAGGGGATAGGCAAAGCGAGCAGAGCAGGGAGGACAGCAACAAGGGGGAGGCAGTTGGGTGATAGCAGCAGTGCAGTCCAACAGTCCACATAGCCATGGCCCATCCGCACCCCTCTATTACAGTTGAGAACAGAACAGCAGCACAGCACAGACGGCAAAGCGGCAACAGCTTGGCAGAGAAGAACAGCACACAACCGCAGTGCAGCAGTGGAGACGTACGGTGGGTGCGCAGCAGCGTGGTGAGCACAGAGGGCAGCGCAGCCCCGCCCAGCAGCAGCACGCAGGAGAAGGTGCGGCGACAGTCCTGCGGAGGCGAGGGGTCGCGGATTGGTGGGGAGGATGGGCGGGACATGGGGGCCTGAGAAAGAGGGGGATGAGCAGCTGCTGTGGTGGTTGTGAGCAGCAGAAGACTGCGAGGAGGAAGTGCAGATGCGGAGCAGAGAGCGCGAGGGGGGGAGTGGGGGAGGTGGGCGCGAGGCTGGTGAGTCGCGAGAGAGGGCAGGAGGAGAGGACATGGAAGAGGAGGAAGCAGTGCGTGTGGTGTGGGGACTGCGGCACGAGCAGCGCTGATGCCGATGCTGCAGCTGCAGCTGTGAGGCATGCTGGCCATGGCGGGTCTATCATGGGCTGCTGTCCTGGCATCATGGCACATGAGTGGTAAGGTAATACATGCCGCATGACACATGCAGCAAAGCACATCCAGTACGTGTGACAGAGAGTGGTAGGGAGGGAAGGGAGAGATCCTCACTGCCAGGCGGTCCAGGAGGACGGACGCCACTTGCTCCACTAAGGGATCGCCACGTGGCACCTCGTTATCAGGCGATGTCATGTCAGCCGCTGCTCTGTCACGCTGCAACACGAGGTGGGCAATGACGGGCAGAGGCGCAGCAGACGGGCGGTGGGAGTGAGCGCAGCAGACGGGCGGTGGGAGTGAGCGCAGCAGACGGGCGGTGGGAGTGAGCGCAGCAGCACATTCGTGGGTGACCACACGTGCAGCTGGGCGGCATGGGAGCGACGGATGGCTCGTTGCACCCCATTCACCCCATGCACTCATCATCACCTGCATCGCCTTCAGCCGGCGGTTGAAGATCTCCATACTGCCACTGCTGCCGCCGCTACTGCCAGCCACAGCAGCAGCGGCGGCGAGGGAAGGCGCGGAGCACAGAAAGCGACGTGGCGGTCGTGCACCTCCCCACCCTCCTCCCGCGTGCACCATGCTGCTGACCGCCGCCTGTCCACTGCGTGCCACCCGCGCCCAAGCGCCGCCCCCCACCTCCCCGCCACGGCCCATGCGCTCCGCCGCCCCGTCCGCAGCCATGCCCCGCCACCCCGCGCCTTTAGTAGCGTCGCCTCCGCCGCTCGTTTCACTCGCCGCGTGCGTCTCGGCGCGCGCAGCATCGCGTGCGGAGCCCGGCTCGCGGGAGGGCCAGCGCTGGCAGGGCTCCGCCGGATCACCCGATTCACGCGCGCCGCTGCCCACGCCGCGTTGCGCGGCGGCAAGGGCGCGCGGACTTGCTTCCGGCGGACACAGCTTTCTCGGTATAAGGGCTTCGCACGACGGAGGCGCGCGATCCACGGCGGACGACGCGGGGACGAGCGAGGCGATGAGGCGACGCGGATTCACCGAGCGATGCGCCCAGGCGAGAAAAGACATGACGATCGACGACGGTTTGGGACAGCGCATGCAGGATGTGGAGTGAACGAGCAGTCCTCTTGTGGTTGGCGAGCAACACGCAATGAAGATTGAAGTCACAGGGGTAACAAATTAGTAGTCGCGAGCCATTCTGGGCTCGTCTCTGCTCTGCCGCCTTTGCTGGTCTGTTCTATTGGCGATTTCGCTAAACGTCGCCAGTCCATCGTCGGGAGTTACCAAAACAGAAGCACAGGTTTGAGAGCTACCGAAAACCTTGAGTTCTGTACCGTTCTGAAAACACGAGATATCGCCGTCACCCCATACATTCTGCTCAAATTGCTTCTCCTCCCTTCCCACCCAGCCCCATCGCACGCCACCCCCTCTTGCGCCAACTCCATCCATCGCCGCCACCCTCAGCTCTACGCGCCTTGCCAGTACGCCTGCCGCGCTCGTGTGCGTGCCGCTTTACCCGCGCTGCGCTACGTGCCTCCGAGCGCGGTCGTCGAATGAGGGCCTTCGCTGTTGCGCGCCGAGCGCCGTCCCGCGCGGCGCTCTTCGCCGTCGGGCGGCACCAGCCGGGAGTTTCCGCCAACTGCCCTGCCGCCGCCACACCATGGGACCGCCGCGTGCCCCCCGCGCTCTCGGCGGATCGGATTCTTCGCTGTGACGCGCAGTGTAGCGGTGCGGGGATGGGGATGTGGGAGGAGCGGAGTGGCAGCAGGGCGGGCGGAGGAGGGAGCGGCGACGGCGGCATGCGGAGGGAGTGCAAGGGGGGCGCGCGCGGCAGCGCGTGGCGAGAGGCGGTCGCACGGTGGGCGCCGGCCGGCGCTGACGCGACGCAGATTTCGCTTCAAGCCACACAGGCGGAGAGTGAGGGGACGACGATGTGGCGGGCGGTGGGTGGCGGCGGTTGGCGCAGTGGCGCAGAGGCGAGGCGGGGAGGTGCAGCGGAGGGGCCGTGTGCGGTAGCGGGCGTGGGCGGGCGAAGGTATGGCGTGTCGGCAGCTGGTGGCGGTGACGCCATGGGGCCAGCGGGGGTGGCGAGGGACGGCGGCATGAGGCGCGCAGGAGGGGCGCGGGGAGACGCGGCGCACGCGGACGAGCGCGGGGCGGAGGGGGAGGCGGAGTGGGGAGAGGCGTACTGGCGGAAACAGCTAGAACGGTCAGCGGCGGCAGAGAGGGGCGGCGGGAAGGGTGAGCGGAGGAGAAGGCGCAAGGCGAAGGAGGGGGAGGGGGAGGCGGTGGAGTGGTGGCCGGGGCAGCGGCAGCAGCAGCAGCAGCAGCAGCGCGGGGCAGGGGGAGTGGAAGAGGGCGGTGGGGCGGACGGAGAGTTGGTGGCGGCGGTGGGCATGGAGGTGGCGCATGAGAAGGCCATGTACCTCCCCCCCTCCGTGCGCCCTGCCCCTCCTGCCCCTCCTGCTGTGCGCCGCTGCTGCCACATCACATTTTTGCTGCCTGTTTTGGCCTCCCCCGTACCCTCGCCAATGCTCATCATGCTACCCAGCGCGCATCATGCTAGCCAGTGCTAGCCAATGCTCATCATGCTACCCAGTGCGCATCATGCTAGCCAGTGCGCATCATGCTAGCCCGTGCTCATCATGCTAGCCAGTGCTCATCATGCTAGCCAGTGCTCATCATGCTAGCCAGTGCTCATCATGCTACCCAGTGCGCATCATGCTAGCCCATGCTCATCATGCTAGCCAGTGCTCATCATGCTAGCCAGTGCTCATCATGCTAGCCAGTGCGCATCATGCTAGCCCGTGCTCATCATGCTAGCCCGTGCTCTCGCCTCTCACCATGCGCCCTACCTCCCTCCCACCTGCCTCGCCCTCCCATCCCCCCAGCCCATCCTGGCAGGGCCGCCCCCTCCCTGGCGGGTGGAGGAGCGCGAGGGCGTGGCGGACCTGTGGCTGACACGCGCCTTCCACGGCGAGCAGCTGCGCCTCATGCTGTTGCTGCAGGGCCATGAGGGGGGACTCGTGGACCAGGGGGAGGAGGGGGAGGAGGGGGGTGGGGAGGGGGGTGATGGCAGGGCTGGTGAGGCACATGGCAGTGGCGTTGGGGGCGGTGAGAGCGATGCGGGCATCCCGGCGCTCATCCTCGTGTCCAAGCCGGTGCGCTCTGTGCAGGCGGGCGGCATGGTAGCTAGGAGCATGGCGATGGGCATGGCGGGCATGGGTGGCAGGGAGGGCCCGGTGAGGGGCAGGCCTGTGAGGCGCATGAGGGGCGAGGGGCGAGGGCACGCTGCAGCAGCAGCAGCAGCAGCAGCAGCAGCATGTGCTGCAGGCACGGCAGCAGGGGGTGGTGAGGGGGAGGCGCGGCTGCGAGTGCACTGCACCATTGCAGGCGACCAGTGGCTCGTGAACCATGTGAGTGGCTCGTGAACCATGTGAGTGGCTCGTGAACCATGTGAGTGGCTCGTGAACCATGTGAGTGGCTCGTGAACCATGTGAGTGGCTCGTGAACCATGTGAGTGGCTCGTGAACCATGTGAGTGGCTCGTGAACCATGTGAGTGGCTCGTGAACCATGTGAGTGGCTCGTGAACCATGTGAGTGGCTCGTGAACCATGTGGGTGGCTCATGAACCATGTGAGTGGCTCGTGAACCATGTGAGTGGCTCGTGAACCATGTGAGTGGCTCGTGAACCATGTGAGTCGTCTGCACTGCCATTTGTAGCAAGCGTCGTGGGGCACAAGTGCACACAGGCCACTCACACTGCTTGCCGCCTACTGAATGCGTGTGTCAGGTTGACCTCCTCTCTGCCTCTCCTCATGCCATCGCCTCCCGATGCCCCCCCATGCCCCCCCATGCCTCCCCATGGCCCCTCATGCCCCCCCATGGCCCCCCATGCCCCCCCATGGGACCCCATGCCCCCCCATGCCCCCCCATTCCCCACCATTCCCCCCCATTCCCCCCCATTTCCCCCCATTCCCCCCCATTCCCCCCCATTCCCCCCCATTCCCCCCCATGCCCCCCCATGCCCCCCTATGCCCCCCCATGCCCCCCCATTCCCTCCCATTCCCCCCCATTCCCCCCCATTCCCCCCCATTCCCCCCCATTCCCCCCCATTCCCCCCCATGCCCCCCCATGCTCCCCCATGCCCCCCCATTCCCTCCCATTCCCCCCCATGCCCACGCACACCCCTGGCAGGTGGCGGTGGACGAGGCAGCAGTGCACGAGGACTCGTTCAGAGTGCCCTTCGACTACACCCTCTATGAGTGAGTCCCTCTGAGTGGTTTCTTACAGCCATACGTAAGAAACTTTTCCCTTCTTACATGCCAACTCATCCACACTTTCTTCTCTTTTCACTCTCACTCTACATCTCTCCTCCCCACTTCATCAAATCTCTGTGGTGCTAATCCCACCAATCTCTCCCCAACCGCCTGGCAGCGCCGTGCCGCCCGCCATGCAGGCGGAGGTGGAGGCGTATCTGCAGCGGCGGGGCGTGGGGGCACAGCTGGCGCGGTACGGGCGCCACCTGCTGCTGCACCGCGAGGTCACCCAGGCCACCGCCTGGCTCTCCTCCCTCCACTCATTCCTCTCCACGCCCGCTGCGACCAGCAGGAGAGTTGGGCATGTGAAGAGAGGAGGGTGGAGGGGGAAAGCAGGTGGTGTGAGAGGGGGTGCGCGCAGTGGAAGGGTGTCCAATGCCGCCCGGTGGAGCTGATGCTTCTGGCCTGCATACGTCAACTGAGGGATGCTGCTGCGGGGGGGGGGGGGGATAGGGTACGCGTGTACAATCTGTACCTTCCCGTGATTCCTGAGACCCCACCAACACACTTGGCATTTTTTAGCATGCACTGCACAGATATCAGGTGCGCGCCGAAGTGTTTAGCCTCGCTGGAACCTATCACATCAACAACACCACACACCTTGTACAGGGGTTTCAGCTATAGTTTTTTGTTATTACACTGTTGGTTCAGTTTACTTATGATTTTAACACTGGCGAAATCAGTATAAAAAAAACCGTGAGCGCTGATTTGGACACCTCGTTGGCCGGGGCACGCTGATCCATCAGCATACCCTCAAACCAATCTGAGGGCCTGGTCCTTGATGTTGGGCTGAGAAAAAGGCTTGGGATCTTATAGAGTTGAGTGTCAAAATCCCAGCCACTAGACAGTTGGGTTAAAAGGGTTTGTTCCAATCGCGGGTCCGTGCGCCCTAACCCCCCCAGTCTAACATGCATGTAACCCCTTCTATGCGTTGGAAACAAGTAATTAACGCTTCTTATGTGTCGTAACATCAAGACTGTAAATAAGGCGAACTACAGCGCAGCAATGGCGAGTCAACCGAGGAGGTTGACAGAAAAGCAACAGCCGGAGGTTACACGAAGTTCAAAGGTCAGCGACCTTTGTGTCAGAATCAGAAACGAGAATGGTGTGACTAACAAGAGCAAGAGTACAAATATGAAACCCTTGTACCCCCTAAGGTGTGACCCACTACAGCCTAGAACCACATAAACATATAATGTTTGTCACACCCCCATAGGCAAAGTGGGGCAGACCTAGGGGTCACAAGACCAGTCAAGGTAAAACAAGGCAAACAAGCTCAGGGTGGATCTCGATGATTCAACACAAATTCCGAGCACAAGCAAGCGGTCACAAGACCAGTTCACATGCAGATTTATAATAGAACAAGAAATACAATGATCACAACCTAGCAAGAGTAAACATGCAGGTATATATATATATATATATATATATATATATAGTGATCACAATACAGACAAAGTCAAGAAGTAAGCAAGTGAGGTCCAGTCGGCACAAGGCCTAGAAGAGTGCAAAAACGCTGATGGTCGACAAGCGGGAGCGCCTTGGTGAACACATCAGCAGTGTTGGCCTCAAAGGCCACGTACCGCAGACGAAGCTGACCACGCTGCTATAGCTCTCGAGCTAGAAAGTAACGCAGAGCAATGTGCTTCGTCCTGTGCTCCAGTCTGTGCTCGTCACACAAGGCAATGGTTGCCTTGTTGTCGACGTACAGCACTGGAGGAGAACGAGGCTGCTCTCCAAGGTCCGTCAGCAGGTAGGGGAGCCAGCGAAGCTCCTGGGTAGCCATGGCCGTGGCGTAGATCTCAGCCTCACAGCTGGAGCTGAGAACAGAAGAAGAGCGAGTAGAACGCCAAGAGACAGAGCCAGAGCCAAGGCTGAAGGTGTAACCCTGAGACGACCGCTGAGTAGCCTGGTCGTCTGCCCAAGAAGCGTCTGAGTGCCCAGTGAGAACAGGCCGATCTCGCCCTCCAAGCACTAGCCCCATGCCCGACGTACTGCACAAGTAGCGCAACACCCTCTTAGCTGCATCCATGTGCTCCTTCCGGTGACGGCCGGGAGCGACATAGCGTGCTAAGATGCTGAGAGGGTATGCAAGGTCAGGTCGCGTGCAGGTCATCAGGTACATGAGGCAGCCCACAAGCTCTGGATACGGACCACTTGGCTCTACGGACTCATCCGAAGGCAGAGCTGAGAGCGAGTGTCCCGTAGGCAGAGGAGTGGACTGAGGCGAGGAGTACGTGAAGCCGAAGCGCTGAAGGACCTGCTGCACCATGTGTGACTAAGTCAGGGTGATGGTGCGCCGTGCTCTGTCCCGGGTGATCCGCAAGCCAAGATAGCTTGTCAGTTCACCCAGGTCTGTGCACGTGTGTCTCTTCTGCAGCTCGGACTTCACGTGAGCGAGACCAGCTGTGTCAGAAGTGGCAAAGACCAAGTCGTCGACGTACACGAGGATGTAGAACGCAGCAGTGAGGTGTCGGTGCGTAGAAACAGCGACGGGTCAGCAGTAGAAGGAGCGAACCCAAGAGCCGCAAGAGTAGTCCTCAGTGTGTCGTGCCACTCACGTGGCGCCTGGCGAAGACTGTAGACTGGCCGCCGAAGGCTCCACTGGGTACCAAGAGGAAACGACCCAGTGAAGCCAGGTGGGCGGCGCAGCCAGATCTCCTCGTGCAGGTTGCCCTTCAAGAAAGCTGTGTTGAAGTCAAGCGAGTGGAGCTCGTAGTCACGCTGAGCAGCGACGTGCAGCAGAACCCGAAGAGTGGTCATCTTCGGGGTCGGAGAGAAGGTCTGGAAGAAGTCAACTCCCTGACGCTGACTGAAGCCTCGCGCAACGTAACGCGCCTTGAAGACAGGCGGAGAGCCCGGTGGCCGCTTCACCCTGAAAATCCACATGCCACTGACGATGTTCGCCCCAGGTGGGGGAACCTCGTCGACGTAGGTGCCTGTGGACTTCTAGGAAGCCATCTCTGCGTCCATGGCTGTCTGCCACTGAGAGGAGTAGGGACCGGCCATCGCCTCTGCGTAAGAGTGTGGGGTCGGGATGTCTGGTGCATCCGGGTCTCCCTCAGGGGCAACAAGCATGGACACGAGATGGGGCAAAGCAGCAGCAAGGCAACCAAACTCCTCCTGCCTGTCCTCAAGGACGTCAGTGCCAAGGGCACAGTCACCCCCGACGGACGGAAGACAGACAGAATCAGACTCAGCAACAAGACTGGCAGCGTAGTCTAAACGACACGCAGCTGCAAAGTCGACCAGCTCAGCAACTAAGGCATACGCGGCAGCGGACTCAAAGGAAGGGTTAGTGACAACCGTAGCTAGGAGACGTGTGACAGTAGGACTGGCAGCGCGAAGGGAGTCGGACGCCGGGTCAGCAAGAGCAGGAAGAGAGGACGCAGGAGGCGACGGGAGAGAGACACGCTGTGGAGCAGTGGACTGACGAAGTGACATCTGGTGAGTGCCTGGGACAGCAGGAGGACGCTGACGCTGGACACTACGACCAGAGGTAGCAGCACGAACAGGCGACGCTCGACGAGACGCAGGCGACACAGGACGTGACGCAGGCTCGCGACGCTCAGCAAGACCTCCAGTCGGACCAGTGTAAGGAGCAGGCACAGGGAGAGGGGAGGCAGGCGGTAACTGTGGCTGTGACTGGACAGACGGCGGACACTCTAAGGCAGGAGGAGGAAGCTGACCAAGAACCTGCTGAAGGAGTGGAACGAAGTACGGCCGAGGCCGTGCAGCAACTCCCGAACCAGCAGCGTCACCAGCGGCAGGGTCCTCAGCACCAGCAGCAGCACCTCCAGCAGCACCTCCAGCAGCACCAGCAGTACCACCAGCAGCAGCAGCACCTCCAGGACCAGGGTCAGCAGCACCCGCAGCAGCTCCAACGCCCGGGTCCTCAGCACCAGCCTCACCTCCAGCAGTACCAGCAGCACCGCCAGCAGTAACAGCACTTCTAGCAGTACCGCCAGCAGCAGCAGCACCTCCAGCTCCAGGGTCCGCAGTACCAGTAGTAGTGTCAACCCCGGGGACCCCAGCACCAGCAGTCCCACTACGAAGACTGATGTGCCGAGTGTACCACTCCCGGAGCTGTGGGGAAGAGGGCGGCTCCCGCCGCGGCGGGGAAACACGAGCACCAACTCCAGCAGCACCCCGAGCCCGAGACGCACCCCGCCGAAGGCTGCAGTACCGCGAGTACCACTCACGCAGCTGCTGCGAAGAGGGAGCTCCTCCAGGCGTCTCACAGTCAGCTGCAGTACCCCCAGACTCAGCAACTCCAGGCTCAGCACCCCCAGACTCAGTAACCCCAGGCTCAGCACCCCCAGACTCGGCAACCCTAGGCTCAGCACCCCCAGACTCAGCACCCCCACGCTCAGTACCCCCAGACTCAGTACCCCCAGGCTCCGCACGCTCAGGCTCCGCACGCTCAGGCTCAGAACCCCTAGCCGGACGCGAGTCGACAGCTACCTCAACAGGCTCAACCGGGTCTACCTGAGGAGACACCTGAAGGAGCGGCACCCTGAGGGGGGAGGGGGTCTACCACTGCAGCACCTGGCGCGAGGAAGAGAGCGGGGGAGGGAGCGGGGCAGTGCGGTAGGGGAAGAGGCGGTAGAAGGGCACGGACTCGTCAAAAGTGACGTCATGAGAGGGGAAGACGCGGTGCGAGGCAGGGTGGTAAAACTGCCAGCCAGACGCATCCGGGACAAAGCCAAGAAAGACACACGGAGCAGTGCGGGAGGAGAGCTTGTCCGCAGACGTGTCGCGAACAAAAGCTCGGGATCCCCAGACTCGGAAGCGTGACGCATCGCCAACCTCCCCCGTCCACAGCAGTGTGGGCGAGGTCTCCGGAGCGGAGACACGGGGCCAGAGGTTGAGCTGATGCACAGCGTACCGGACCGCAAACGGCCACAGAAAGTGGGGGGCAGCCGCGTGGACTAGGGAGGTACGAGCGACCTCCATGACCAAGCCAATGCGGCGCTCAGCAACCCCATTATGCTGTGGAGAGGCCGGAAGCGTGAACGACTGGCGAATGCCGTGCTCGGCACAGTAGGCTGCCAAGAGGTCGGAGGAGAACTCACCACCTCTGTCAGAGTGCAAGCGCAGGACAGGAAACTCCGAGCGAAAACGCTCGCGCAGCTGAAGACGTGCTCTGCTGATCCAAGGGATCATAACATCAGGGACTTCACCCTTGGCGCGCAAGGGGAAGACCGTGGTGTAGCGCGAGTAGTCGTCAACGACGATCAAGAAGTACCTCTCCTGGCCCTGACCACGGACGCGGGCTGGGCCCCACACGTCCATGTGGAGCGTCTGCAAAGGAGCAGTCGTCGGGGGGAACGAGGAGGAGTGAGGGGCAGCGCGCTGCCGCCCCTCGACACAGGGAAGACAAGGAGGAGCAAGG